AAGATAGAGAGCAAGTGGGAACCAAGACAGAAGCCACAGTATCTTTTATAACCTAATCTCAGAAATAACATGCCATTACATCTGCCGTATTCTATTGGTCACACAGAACAACCCTGAAACAGCATGAGAGGGCACTACACAGGGTGTACAAAGAGGCAGGGATCACTACGGGCTATCTTGAGCCTAGCTACCATGGGTCCACTCATTAAGAAGTCCATCTGTCCACTGGGCTCTCTCTGCCCTAACTCCTCTAACTCTTCTCAAATGAACTGGTTCATGAGCTTCCAGCACACGCTGGGAGCATCATGCCTGTGCTGCTTTTCCCTTCCCTGCATGCTCCACCCTTCTCCATCCTGTTCTGTGACCATAACACTGACTCTATAGATGGCGACACCGACTAGACTTTCTTGCCCTCTGCCTTCCTACTGGGTCCAGCCAATGGGAAGCAGCAACAGGCAATGGGAGAGTAGGAGAACAGAGAGAAGATAGGCTATTTATTGCCTAGCTTCCTCCCTGTCAGATCACCATGGTCGGCATGGATCTCTCTTCTGAAGGCCGCAGCTCCTGCCAGGCTGCTCTCTCTCCATGTGGCTTCTCTCTCCATAAAGCTTCCCTCTCTGCTCTCAGAGGTGGGTCTCCATAGTCGCTGTGGAGAAGGTGCAAATCCTAGTATCAGCACTAAGCACATGGGTAATTCGCTGACATCTCCGTGTCGGTTTTCCTTATCTGCAAGATGGCCATATCAAACCTTCTCTAGGGCTCATGGAGAAGGTTAAGGGAGGCATTTATGTGCTGCATCTAGCACAGAGCTGTCACTCACTGCAGGATGGCTACTCTAGGTGCGGCTCACATTCCGGCACAGAGAACCTGGATAAATATCATGGCCCAACAAGAAAGGGCTGTGGGAACTGGAAGCAGGAAAAGTGAGGTCAGTGGGAGAAGATTCACAAAGTGCTGATGATGGAGTGGACCTTGAAGGATGGACAAGTTTCCCCATCAGATGAGGCCATTTCAAGCAAACACAACAGAGCTGAGACCAGATCGTCCTCAGCACATTGGGAAGTTGAGAGGACTTGGCCATGGTGGGACCAGAGAGCCGGATTCATGGTGAGGGGTCAGCATGAGGGCTCAGTGCAGGCAGGGGGCAGGTTGTGCAGCTATGAACTTCAGGGAGGTGAGAAACAGGAGAGATGGGATTTGGACTGAGGGGAGTGGTAGCCAACTCCAAGATGGTCCCCAGTGATGCTCACCTCCTGGCATCTATGCCCTGTGTCCCCTCCCTCAATGAGCAGGGCTGACCTGGGCAATCCAATAGGATAGTATGGAAATGATGAAGGGTGACTTCTGAGGCTGGATCATAAAAGACACTGTGGCTTCCACCTTGCTCTCTCTTGGATCACTTGCTCCAGGGGAAGCCAGCTGCTGCACCATGAGGACACCTGAGTAGGCCTATGGAAAGGTCCCTGTGGTGAGGAACTGAGCCTCCTGCCAGCAGCCAGCACCAACTTGCCAGTCAGGTGACTGAGCCATCCTGGAAATGATCCTCTGTATTAGTTTCCTATGGCTGCCGCAAGAAAGCACCACCAACTGGGTGGCTTAAAACATAGAAATTTATCATCTCACAGTGCTGGAGGCCAGAAGTCCAAGATCAGGTGTGGGCAGGGCCATGCTCCTTCTGAGACCTGTAGGAGGGGCTCCTTCCTGACTCTTCTAGCTTGTGGTGTTTGCCAGCCGTCCTTGGTGTTGCTTGGTTTATAGATGCATCCCTCCCATCTCTGCTCCATCATCACAAGGCCGTCTTCTCCCTGTGTGTCTAAGTCTTCTCATCTAATAAGGACACCGTATATTGGATGAAGGGCCCACCCTACTCTAGTATGACCTCATTTTAACCTACATCTTAATCACAGCTACAAAGACCCTATTTCCAAATAAGGTCACATTCTGAGGTAGTAGGTGTTAAGACTTCAACATACCTGTTGGGGGACACAATTACCAATAATGCCCTCCAACTCCAGTGAAGCCTTCAGCTGCCTACACACCGGGGACACCTTGACTGCAGCTCATGAGAGACCCTGAGCCAGAACCACCCGGCTAAGCCACTCCCAGATTCCCAACCCACAGAGACTGTCAGTTGATCATGTTCAGGACTGTCTGAAGCCACTAAGTTTTAGGGTCATTTGTTATGTGGGAATAGGCAACCAACACAAGGAGTGGTGAGGCTTGGCAATGAGAGACGGAAGGCCTCCACAGCAGTCCTGTTCACAGATCTTCATGTCACAGCAGCATTTGTTGTAAATCTGGGCCTTTTTACACGTTTCATACTATTAAAGCTTTTTAAAAAGTTTTGCGATATATAAACCCACTTTGTTGAGAAATCATTTGTTGATTTAGTGGGTAACTGGTGTTTGAGCAGTTCTGAATGTCACTGAGAACCTAAGCAGCTGACTCACCACGGTCCCTGTCGGGACAGCGCTTCTGTCCAGGCCACCTTGTAGGCTCCTGGCCAGCCCTCTGACTGGCTGGTCTTGGGGCAGTGCGTGATGGCCAGGGGGTGGGGCCCCAAGGTTCTGAGCAGGGCCACCTAGGGGCGAGGGGTGGCCCAGGTGGGTTTCCCTCAGCAGGGGCTGCAGCAAGGCCCTCCCTTTGGGAGAGGCTGTGGTGGGCGCGGCCTTGCCTTCTCTTGGAACAGGCCTTTTTAAGCCCAGTCTAAACACAGCTCGTGGTGCCTCTCACTTCCTCTGTGAGGAAAACCACAGCCAGGCACACAGCTGCACCTACATGAGAACCCACACGGACTAGCGACTTCCCCCGAGTCTGATTCCACCAAAAATACACTTGACTTCCTGCCTCTATGTGATGGTCAAGATTGCCATTGCTTCCTGAATTTCAAGATCACAGTTGACAAAAGCATATCACAACCATTAGTCATCAGTGTATTTTTTTTCCTGAAAATGATTTCTTTTACTCATTTTCCCATCCTCTACTTTATTCTGCCATCTGGCAACTACTTTTTACTGTAAAAATCACTTTGTTTTACCACCATTATTTATCCCACCCCC